TGTAGTACTTTGAGAATTTGTGACGTTTTGTTGAAGTATCAAGAATAACGGATAAACAGACTCATCTGCGCGTTAATCACATTTAAATACGTTAAACCTAAACATACGTGTTTAAATTGGATTCTTCTCATTTGATTCTTTATTAAGTTTATTCCTCCTTTATTCCGTTTATAATAAAAGTTTAATTCATTTACAGTTATAAATAGTCGTAGATTTAGTTGATAGGCGACTCGTGTGTGTTATCTTTTCTTAACTAATCATATCTGCAAATTCAATAAGCAAGAAAATAACAATAGGGATAAAGCAGCAACTTGAGAAATTCTACATATACAGTACAACTGTATTAATAAGTCTGATGCATTCGTGTCTGTTAAATAATTAATTGGTGAGTTGCTTTTCGTACTTCTAACAGTACGATAATGCATTATTCGATAGACGAATAATTTCCAGTAGTCATATTGGTTTTAGGATTACCCTTACTGGGACGTTGTTTGTACTGTATATAAAATTGCGACAATATTATAAAACGCTCTGTATAGAGGGAAGCATTAAAAAATTAAGAATTATTTCTTCGCTGGTTGTTGCGCGATTTTAATCTTATCAATTTATTCAATACAAAAGCTGTACAAATCAGAATACTACTTTGGTTCTGTAAAATCGTGTTTTATGAAGCACAATGCGTCTAATGTATCGTTACCAAATCTACTTCTTTTTCTTTACAGCCAAGAGATTTGTAGCTCCAGAAGTATGTATTTTACTTCTACTGAATGAAAATTGCTTTATTCGAACATCTAAAGGTTCTTATCAAATTTGATATCATTTTTTTGGTAGATGCAAAAACGTAGAATTTCTTTCTTAAAATCTGGAATAAACCTTCGTGGTTGTTACTGAATTCTTGGTAGCTACTTACGCAGCACTTTCTTTACGCGGTATTGTTTATACACGATATCAATTCAAGCTAGGATTTTTCATGATTTCCTGATGTCAGTCTTAGGTCGATATCTTGTTTTCATGAAAAGATACAACGCTTAATAAGTTCCGCAAAGAACGGACTTTTACCCCTTCACTCTCTTAATCTTGGAGTCCAAGGAAAACGTTTGGGCTACTAATATACAAAATTTTGGGAAAATCGGTCTCGGATAATTTTGGCCAATTTATAATCGACACCCTTCTATATAACAGACGTGAAGTTCCACAAACTATCAACTGACAAAAATCAACCCGAGCGTTAGAACGATTAAATTGTTCCTTCGTGGCACAGGCTCGAGCTTAGAAATTTCTTTAATTCCTACAGTCTTCCAATTCCTCAATTTCTTTATGTTGTGATATAATAGCCGTAGGGAAGGTACATTTTAGTAAGTCAGTTAGATTCTAACATTGCTGTCTCGAGATGGGACCGAATGATAGGATATGTCTTTCAAAAATGGAATATACAAGGAGAATTTGCTAGATTTTTTAAATATTCGATACTTTGTAAAGCATCCTTTATTTTTTATTGCAGAAATAATTCTTCTTTGTAGAAATTTATCTAATTTTTTAATCCCTTTTTGTCTTAATTGGTGCCATTCATAAGCATTATTTTAATTCGTCAATAGTTTGAAACTGTTGGTCGTTAGCATATACTGCTGTCACAAGATCTGTCCAAACATTTTTGATGATATTAAGATCCGGAAATCTTGCTGGCTACTTCAAAATACGGTCTTTTTCACTCGGGAAGAGTTCTTTCAATATTTTGGCCGTGTGAGCGAAGGCATTATCGTGTTGAAT